TCTTCTTCTTCTTCTTCTTCTTTTTCTTCTCTCCTTTTCCTTTCTTTCTTTCTCGTTTTCTTTCATTGTTAGGGCTTTTATCAAAATATTAAAATGAAAATAATCTGCTATAATACTCGATACAGTACTGTATTCAAGGAAAGAACGCAATCGTTCCGGCGTCAAAAAAATCTCGACGCGTGTTCTTAATTTTGTTGTAAAATAGAGAAAGATTTCTAAGGTGGTTACATCTCCCCTAGTGATCATATTTAAAGATTGCTGCTCGGAGGAAATCGTTAACGAGAAAACAAGAACTTTCTATTGTTTGTACTTTGATCCAAAGAAAAATCTTACATTTTCCCAGGCAAATCTTAACGTCATCATATGTATATCATTTTTATTCGTATCACTGATCTTATCACTGATCTTAGCCATGATTTTTGAGACTATTAAAACGTATCAGATACATTTTTCTCTCAGGGTAACGATCAGGAGCGATTGGGTTTCTACTTTAGCACACAACAACTTATCTTAAATATATCTACTTTCCTCATTGAAACTTTCCCTTGTCAAATATTCTACATAATCACATATTAACAGAGTTTAGCCACAGTTTCGATGGTATAATGCCATTAACCTACTCTACGTTATATTAAGTTGGCTTTCATTTTTCGTGTTATCTATTTGACCCCATTTAGCAGTTTAATTTTGTATGGATCGAATAGATGGCAGTGGAATTATACGAGCTCGACAAAATAGGGAGAACAGGGCCCGGTTGTACAAAGGGATAGCGTTTTTTTTTTTTTTTTTTTTTTGCAAAAATACATCTAGCATAGCTTTTTCCTTTTCTTTTTCCTTTCCTGTGCAAAAGGTGTCAAAAGGTAAGTTTGTCAATCTGAATTTTAATTACAGCGATGTTAATCACAAAAAATCTATAGTACTGACTGTTTAGAAGGAACAAACTGGCGATTCATTTTAATTCGACCATTCTAAATTACTCTGACTTCTCGTGTACTAATAACTAAACTTTCATTTCAAACCAAGAAGCTACTCTTGTTTGTCTTTGAATAGAACCAAAGCGGATGCCAATAAAATTGAAACCATCTTCAGTAAATAGAAAAAAAAGAGATTGTTTTTTTCAGATGACGATTTATTTATATTTATATACACTCTTAAATCTAGTTTGTTAGATGTGATGATAGAGTTTTTATTTTCAATGAAGTCGGCAGAATGAGTAAAATAGCCTGGAAATAAGTCAGAAGCTACGTTTGTCATTGACATGTCTATGTACTTTACAGATCTGCATGGTTTTGCCTTTGACGCAGTTCCCATAGCATTTAATGATAAGAACCAGCTTCTATAGCAGTGATAATTTGTATAAACGATTGTGTATTTAAATATGATAGGGTGTTTAAGGCGGTTCAGTCCACTTTATTCATTTTGCACAAATTTTCCATTCAAAATTAAATTGCAAATCATTAACAGATAAATGGCTTTCTATAGATTAACAGTTTTTAATGGTTTTCTAGCGTAAGTTTCGATTACACTTATTTATTATTGGCATGGTATTTAATTTTTTGTCAAGGTCTAGATTTTTGCCCTTATGTCGACTTATGTCGCACACTACATAGAGTTTTACAGCGAAAGTTTCACCCGTAGTTAACTATGGTTTCAAGAAAGGGGTTACTCGATATATYGCTATCTTTTCGCTGAAACTCGTCTCGCAACACAATTAGGTTATCGAATAAGTAGTTCAGCCATAGTTAATAGAGGGGGGACACTATTGACTATGGTTCTACTGACAATTTTGTGAAACTTTGTTGCCAAGAAACTTTTACAAGGTTGGTATGCTACACTGTACAATTTTTGTTTTTGCTAAAACCTGTCAAGCGCATTGATGATGCTGCGCACTATGAAATTTCAGATAAGAGTTTCAACGGTGTCACCATCCGCTCTTAGAAAAATAGAGAAGATAGTTGAAAGCTAAAAATGCTTTATAAAATAAACGAACTTTAAAATTTATTTGTCTATGTGTTAACCCCTTGTTTTTCGTTGCTGGTTTTGTTTGTGTTTTTTAAGTAAGCGAAAAAAATCTTTCAACTCAAACTTTGAACCAATTACGGTATAACTAAATTATTTTTTCTGTTTTAATTTTTAATTTGGCGCGAGAAATAAAAGTAATAACCTTTGTGTAAATACGCTATATATTTATATATCTATAATAAGATAAAAGTTTCTTTATTCGAAAAATATTTATCGTTGCTTTGACATTTTTCTTTCTACTTTTGAGAAATCGTGACAAAAAATAACATTCAGGTCGAAACTCAGGCTACCTATCATAAACCTTACGGACTGTTTTACAGACAAAGTGAATATTATTTTGAGCTGGTAAATAAAGGATATAAAAAGAGACATTTGATGGTCTGACATTCTGCATTAGTAAGTCTCTAATGCGGCTATCTTATTGCTAAGCTCGTCTATCTTAGTCACAAGCATGTTACTCTGATAACGGCTTACGTAAACCTACAAGGATATCTTGCTGCCATTTACACCTTCCTTATTTATTCGAAGTACAAATACTAAGAGGTCTTTTTGCCGTCAAACCAAACAACTAGTCTAACTCTAGGCTTTATTCTTTGGATTTTTTTGACAAGTAAAGCAAAGAAATCGTTTAGTGGTCAAGGCAACGGCTTCTTAACCACACAATCCCAAATGGATCGCGCACGTATGATTAAGTTGGTCGATAAACACTTTAAGCGTAATGACTTGAGCAAGTCTTATTACATATAAAGGGTATTGTACTTATAACTTTCACATTGTGTTTTAGGAAGTTCTAACTCCAGTACTAGAAGCTTCACAGACATGGTTAGTCTACTCGTGGCTGTTATTGTGGTGCTGTTGCCAACTCTCTCAGTGAGTACTCTTATTATTTTTATTCTAAAGCTGCTAAGGCCGTCCATATTTATGGATTGAAAACAAGAAAATGATAGACCCTAGAGTTCCAATTCAACTCATTTAGCCGAGGAGTTAAATAACATTGGTGACTTGTATGAGAAAAAGTGATGAGCTGACTGATGTCTCCAATCAACCCTTTTAAAAAAATAAAAAAATAAAAACAACAACAAATGTATTAAAAATGAAAATGGAAACACCCTATTTTCAGGAGAGTTACTTAACAAAATATATTCTCATGCATCCCTCTATATCGATTTTGTCAGTAATATCGCGGCCAGCTAAGTAGAATAAAAACCAAAATTCGTGAAAAGCTAGTGATTAAAACTATTTCGAAATTGGTTGAACTTATTCGTTTTCTATTATTTTAATACCCCTTTACGTTACACTCAGAATAACATTACTCGATTAATTCTGATTGGTTGAAAACAGTACAATTAATGGTACTCAGTAGTAGGAATGCACTCAAATAGCATTGAGAAACATATAATAGATTATATAGGTTCGCTACCCCGATTTCACACCAGATTCTTTGTTATATATAGATATAGATATAGATATAGCTTACTTTCAAAGTCTTGTTAACCATTATGATAATTTTCATTTTATGAAATGTAATAAAATAAAATAATAATAATTATTATGATAATTTTCCTTTCCTTTTAAGGTGGGGCTTACGCCTAAAGGAGGTAAGTCGAAGATAAAATTCATGTTGCTAATAATCCTCGGGCGGATGCAGAAACGCGCACTCAATTCATAATTTGCGGCAGATGAGCTCACACGATATATATACGACAGTAGTAAAGGAAGATATGTTAGCGTGTAATCACTCGAGATGACATGCGTTAGATGGGCGAATGATCGAACCAAGATACTTCACGTTTTCAGTCTCACAAGCCTGTCAATAGTCTAATCCACTTGAGCGTATTACTTTACGACCATTTTAGACAAGACCACCTTTCATTTAGTCTCCCTTGCATCCGTTTTTAGTGTCGGTCGTCACGCGACGCTTCCTGTGGGGAGGGAGCGTTGCGTGACGACCGACACTAAAAACGGATGCGAGGGAGACTACCCTTCATTCCCTTGAGTAGAACTTCATCAGTTATCAGCGAGATAAGAACATCGATACTCCCATTTCGAGTTCGTCTTTTGTTAAGGTCCGTTGTATTCCACGGGTTTTTTATTGGTTGAATAGCTGTGAATATTATAACGTACAACCGAGACTAAGGCTAGGCAGTGAGAGCTGGAAACTGGTGGATCATTAACACTTATATATTAATCTCAAATAATAATAAGCAATTATTGGACAAGGTTGAGTAAAATATCGTGATTTGTTAGTAGCGAGCGAGCAAAAATTTGCCAATGCCGTAGGCAGATAATTCCAAATAATTGCCCTATTTCACTATGACGTCACTGCTTGTTGATGTGGGGGATAGAATCGCCAAATCCAATAGAAAATTCAACAAAATTTGC